AAAAGTTCAATTTCCGGTCGAAAAAAACTTGAAAACAATTTGTATTCGACGAGTTAAAGAGCTCTATTTATTCTAAATTTTCCAAAAAAAATTAGATTTCGTTTTTTCGCTTCAAAAAATGTTGTTTTAAGTTTTAAAATTTGTAATTCAAAATTTTTTTGGAAAGATTTACGATTTTTTAATACTGCGAATGAGTTTTATTTTACATACTCTATTGATAAATCATATTTTTGTCGAGATATAACTTTTTTTTAAAAAAATTATATGCAAAGAGTGTTATAGAATTCTAGAAGGTATAGTGCATAATTTGAAGTATACTATCAAATAAAGAAATTTTACAGTTTTTTAGTTTTATTTAGATGTACGTTATTTTAGATGGCTTCGTCGAAAACAAAGCATGTCTGTTAAGTTTATTCTTAACATGGTAAATAAAATGGCAACGAAGCCCAGTGTACTGCGTCTTATGCCGTAGTTTTTGTTATCTTCATACTCAAATACAACAAATACAAATAGATTTATTACGAAAAAACGTATAAAACAAATGATATATTTATTTCTAGACAAGTTGACGAACATGTAGCGCAACTGTATCGCTTTAGAGAACAGTTCTTCCAACACCTACTCATTCAGTGAAAGATTTAAGAAGAACTCTTACTCGACCTTAACTACCTACGCTTTGCTTGAACAATTCCCAACGAGGTTACTATAAGGTTGCAAGTCTTGTCAAAATGTAGTATGCAATACGTTGGGGAAAAATAGATATATACGAACAAACTACTACAGTCTAGCAACTAGTCTTTAAGTGTAATGTATTTTTGCTACAAAGAGCTCATAACGAAGTCAAATTTTGCAATTTGATGTCAAAACTAGCTAGTTGTTGAATCAAATAGCGTTGTGACTTTGTATACATCACGATCTTGTGGTATCAGAGCTGTACTGCTGCAGACTAATTCAACTAAACATGAGCAAGATTGGGATTTCTATTCTCTGGGGTGCGAGGCTCGTCCAAAGTTCAAGCAGCTACAGTGTTTTGGATCACCTAAAGAATTTTGGGAATTCAGTTATCCGTTACTACTCTTAAATTAAAGTAGAGCACTACAGCGAATCAATCGTAATGCCTAGTCTCTCCAGTAACAAGCTGATCTGCTATATTAACTTTAAAGCCAAATCGATTCACATTGTTGCTGGTAAGTCTGATTGCTTCAGATAGAGAGCATGAATTGCTTCTTTATCATCTAATCCCCATCCCCCTTGTTCCCGATTGGATGACATGGACAATTCATCTTTCTCTAACGAAACAAAATGACACTTTTTTGGCGGCTTATTGACTCAGAAAAATTTGAGAGTTAACGAATAATTTTGGCGCCAAAAATAATTTCTCTTAATTTATTAAATTTAATATACGCACATCCATAAGTTATGCTATTTTTTCTATTTATTTTGTTCTAAAATTCTAAATATTTTTTTTTCATAACATAAAATATGATGTCTAGTCTCATTTACATAACAACATGCCTTAGAATAGGTTTTTTATTCTTTTTGTCACTTTAAATTAAGAATAAAAAGATAATTTAAATTGAATATTTGCGATTATTCTCACTAATGCTGCTTCCTCTTTTATTAGGTAGACAACAAAAAGTTAGCCTTGGACTCCCATATCAGATTTTTGATTGGTTGCGTATATAATGAGCTGGGATTGATAGACGAAAACCCAGTGAGAAAATTTTTGACGCCTTTGCTAATTGTCGTCAAAAATTAGGCGTAAAGCAAAAATTAATATTTCATATGGTTTTATGATAGATAAGCATTATATTCCCACTCATTATATTCGTAAATTTTGAGGTTTATCCTTCGCTTTTAAGATCATTGAATTTGATTTTTATATAAAATAGTTATATATTAGAAAATAATATGAGTTTATGTGATATTATTAAAAAAAAAAAAAAAAAAAAAAAAAGGTAGTGGGGCTTCCAGGCACTTCGTGCCTTCTAGCCCTGAAGATGTTTAGTATAAATGAAGTTTTATTCGAAGGGCTTCCAGGCGCGTTGCGCCCTCTAGCCCATAAGAAATTTTGCCCAAGACCCAAGAGGAGGACCGAACCCCAGCCGGTGACACTTTTTGTTTCACTTTTCACAAATTATATATGTTTTCATGTTTTGTCAAGACTTCTTCGTAATGAGTGTAAAGGACCAAAAAATAATGTTTAGGGTAGAAGGTTAGATCTAACCTCTTTTCTAACCTCTTTTCTAACCTAGCCGCTTTGCGGCTCTGACCCTTTGGGTCTCTTGAATTTTCATGACTTCTTCGTAAATGTTTTGTCAAGACTTCTTCGTAATGAGTGTAAAGGACCAAAAAATAATGTTTAGGGTAGAAGGTTAGATCTAACCTCTTTTCTAACCTCTTTTCTAACCTCTTGAATTTTCATGACTTCTTCGTATATATGCTTTTTAACTTCACTTAAAATGCCACGTAAGCTACGTAAGAATATACGTAAGAGGAAGAGAGCATTGAAACATCCAATAGTAAAACTGACACCACAACAACAACTGCAACAACAAATGATGAATGACCCCACTATGTTGCAACAAATGTCAAGCAACCCTATGCTTTTAAACCGAGTTATTGGTGCACAGAGTGGAGGTTTAAAGCGGCACTTTTTAAAAATGCAGGCTATGGTGGAGCTGCAGACGGAACAGCTTATAACCCTCAAAGTCAATATGAATTTGAGTTCACTCAAAAATCAAATAACAGATGTCAAAAAGTCAAACATAGACATACAGAAACAAATAAGTGAAAACGAAAAGAAACTAGAATATGACAGACACACAAAGAAACTCAATGAGTTAAACGTAGAGAAAAAGAAGAAAGAAGAACAACTGAAAGAACTAAGTACAGAGGAATATGCGAAAAAAGTGTCAGAAAAAGCAGCAGAAGTAGCAAAAATGGAACAAGATGTTATAAATTTGAAAAACCATACTACTCAATATAAAGTACTGAAAGATGAAGAGATAAAACAAAAAGCCCTGAAGACATATATGGATAGCGATGAGTATAAAAAGAAGTTGAAGCAAATGTAAAGGCAGAAAAACTTTTACAGTTGCAAAACCAAACCGTACAGTATGAAAACTTAGCACAAGAAAGTAAAAATAACGACACAGCCATGCAAAAGGCAATGAAAAGCGCAGAATATATAAAAGCTAATAATGACTGGTTAGATGCCCAGGCCAACGCTAAAGCAGCCCAACTTATAGGGTCAATAAGGACAAAAATACAAGCGGATGAAGACAGTTCAAATGAAGCTTTAATGAATGCTGACTTTAAGAATGCCTTCGAAGCTCTTCATAGTAAGGTGAAACTAGTGAACGACTTCTCATCTGGAAAGAAACTGAAGTCTGAAGGTTTCGACAAAGAGTTAAGAGAAGTAGCACAAAATATGACGAAAATAACAGATGCAGCAACGAGACAGGCAGTTCAAAGTGCCTATGACGCCGTTAGAGCAACTGTTGTGGAAAGTCAAGAAAAAGAGTTACAACAGACCAAAACAGACCTAGTAAATGCTTTCTTAAAAACGAAAAGTCAGGTAGGACATTATGCTGCAGATGGAACATATGTGCCAGCTGGTGGAACTTATATACCAGCTGGTGGAACTTATATACTAGCTAGTGGAACTTATATACCAGCTGGTGGAACTTTTATACCACCAAACCCTTCAAGAGAAGCACCTGCAGCAGGACTACCTAAAACATTTACATCGTCACATGGACACAGACGCAGGCATGCACCAAAACCAGCACAACAACCACCTCCACAACCAGCACAACAACCACCTCCACAACCAGCACAACAACCACCTCCACAACCAGCACAACAACCAGCACAAACAGAGCAAGGACATAAAAGAAGTAGCGAACAAGGAAACCAAGAATTCTTAAAAATGCTTAAGGAAAATTATGGTTACCCAGATACTCTTGACTTTAGTGACAGATATAAAGAAGCTATTAGAAAGTTCAAGGAAGGAAATACTGACCCGAACCTATTTAGCTTTATGGTTCAGCACCAAATGGGATATAAGCTCAAACCTGGAAAATACAAGCTCGCTAAGGGATATGATTTAATAGCATATCATCCAAATGACATGAATGAATTTACTCCAAGATATTTGGTGTCAGAGCTAAACGATAATTCAACTCTCTTCATGAAACGCGTAAAAAATAGAGACGGAACGAAAGAAGAAAGGGTTATGAATGCGGATGACTTAGAAAGGGAATTTGTTAAAAACGGTCTCGGAATATATGAAATGCCAGCAGATGAGGTACAAGAAACTCCACAGGAAGAAGTTCAGATACAACCAGACATGGAAGAAATAGTTCAGCAACAACAGCTAGAAGAGCCTGAAGGAAACGAACAAGTCACTCCTTTGGAAACTAACTTCACAGAACTAGATGAAGATTTGGAACAGCCGAAAAATCTTGACCCTCAACAAGTGTATGCGGAGAATATGGAATCTTTCAAGAGTCTAAGAAAAATTCGGCTGACATAGTAGAAGAATATCGAAAAATGTTCGCCGACATACAAAAGACTCCAACATCAGATGAAAATATCCAGCATAGAATGGAAGTACTGAAAGATAATGTACACAAATACAACAATCCTTTTTACTTACGAGCATATAACGTTCAATCTTCGGATGAACTCGGTGAAAATAAAAGGTTAAATTTCAACAAAACATATAGAAATGAAACATTGTTTAAAGTTCATTCAGAACCTAACCAATATGGAAACAAACCTACTTTTGTTTCTGCAGACTATGGAACTACAATGAGATGGGGTCATAAAGCTAATCCGGATAGGTGGTTCATAAACTTACAACCTCAATTCCAAGAAGTTGTAGACGCAATGGAAGAGAATGGTGAACCAGATATAGCTGGTATTTTCAGCGCGGCTTTAATGCCATTGAAAGATATGAAACATGCAGATATTTTAACCAGTATGAAATGAACATGGCTGATGGAAATATAACACCTGACGTTCTAGAACATTTATCTCAAAGAACTACACAGAACCATAGAGATGGTATATTTGGTGAAGAGTTTAGAAAGAAAGTTAGGGAGAAAGAAGGAAGAGAACCTATTGTACATGACCTTGCAAACGAAAGTTTGCAAAATGTCATAAAAACTTACTTTGCAGACAATGCAAAGAGAAGGGATGAATATTTAAGAAAACTCAAATGGACAGTACCAAATGAAATGTTAGTATTGAAAAACATGTTCCTTGACAAAATAAAACCAACTACAGAAATAAATGACGCAAGACTGGAACATTGGGTAAAAGCTTTCCCATTCACAAAAGATATTATTGGTAACATGGAAAGAAAACCAGAATGGCTACAAAAACATATATTTGGAAACGAGCTTATTCCATATGGACAAGCTCTGTTTGAAGAGCTTGAACCGGAAACTCAGGAAAGAGTCATGCAAACAATACGCGAAGACTCAAATACAAAACTATGACAAAATCTTTCTAGGATATAGGTTACCTGAGATGGGCGACCAGAGCCCAAAGGCAAAAAGGACATGGGAAATTTACAACATACTAGGTGAACATGAGGCAAAGATGCAACAAAACTCAGTCAGGAAGAAAAGTAAAGCTTGGTACGAGTGGGTTCTATTATGATATATAAATCCAACTATTCTATATTTTTACCCATATGAAATGTACGCCGCTCAGAATATAACGCCAACAGTTTTGGATGCCATGAACGGAAATGTTTCCGAATGGTATAACGAATGCGACAATGCCATTAGAAGGTCAGAAATAGTTCCTGGAACTTACGAATATACAACTGCTGTTTCTTATGGAAACGTAGGTGAGTTTGGAGAAGGTTCTTCAACAACAGTAGATATTGCTTGCGACAGGTTTCATATTATTTCTATTGACAACTCATTCTTATACGTGGAACAAGACATTGAAATAAAACCTTCTGCCAAGTTGTCTGACAAGAAAGGTTGCAATGGAATTTTCTATGTCGGATACCAATATGCTCCAGAAGTTTTCATGGGATATAAGATATATTCTAACTCTGACTTAGTTCAAACAGTAACATGGGCAAACTATGAATGGTTCGCTTTGAGAAACTCAGTACAACCACAAGCTAGAGAACAAACAGACCAGTATGCAACTATTGAGAAAATAAGAAGATTGACCCTAACGTTCCAGGAGTTTATGTTAACCTTTCTGGTTTCAGATGGAACTGCTGCCACTAAAGTAAAACTGAAACTTAGAGTTCCTTTGTCATCTTTCCTCATCTTCAGGTTTTTTAAGATACTTGCCAAACTGGCAGGAAAAATTTCTATTGAACTTACTCCAAGCAAAATAACTTAGTCATTGCACCAACACAAGACCCATTCACTATTACAGATACAGCTGGTGGAGCTGCCAGCATACCATTTGGAAAATGGTGCAAAGAGAAAGTTGACTTAGACTTTGGTTTCTCAAACCTCAACACTGAAGTAAACTACTACTTCTCAGGAACAGCAGACAACAATACTGCTTGGGACCCAGTTAAGTTCACATGCGAAAAATTTGAATGCAAGAGAATAGAAAGCAGACTTGCAGTCTATATGTTGGACCCAGATATTTCAAATGCTTTAGCTGCCAAATTATTGCAGTTCCACTTATGTTCCCTATACACCAAATATCTGTCAAAGACTTTGCAGGTGAAGTTGGAAACCAAAGTGCTGACCCAGGTGCAAGAACAGATATTGCTTTAACAACTGCAATGAAACATGCAGATACTCTGTTTGTACTGTTCAGACGAACTATAAATGACTATTCTTGTTTCTACAACCCCGGTATTAAATATCATATAACATAGATGGCAAATATTATCCAAGAGAAGAATATTCTACAGTTGAGGATATGAGGTCATACAACTTGACATTAGATGCTATGAACTTTAACAACAACTTCACAACAACCATTAACCCTGAAATGCAAAGTTCTATTATGCCATATGTGAAAGTATGGACTCATACAGGAGGTCAAAAAACTCAATATACAAATGGAGACCGTTCAAACTTTTGGCTTGGCATTCCATTTGCTGACTCAGAAGACTTTATGGGTGGTATTTCAACTGTTGGTACAGTTCAAATACAATATACTGGTGACAGAGACGGTCCAGATGAATTGAAAGCAAAGAAGTTTACAAAACCAATAGCACTTTTCACGGAAGATGCTCTTTTGAAGATTCGTTCGATGAAACCTGCTGGGGCTCCTCAGATTGGCATAACGGACAGCTTCCATCGAGCAGATTTTGGCAGCAGGTCAGTAAGTTGTTCTTGAACTGACTTCTCTCCGTCAAATATTGACAGTACGCCAGTTTTGACATAATATTGTATTATAAACTTTCCTTTAGTAATATCTGTAAGTTTTGAAGTTATATTTTTGTCTGCTTCAAGAACTTTCACCATCTCGGTTATACCAACTTTCTTTGCTTTATGAAAATATTTAGGTTCAGCAAAGACTGCTATTCTATAACATTTTCCATTGTTTGTGTAAAGAACTATTCTGTCAATGTATTTGTATTGTTTGTGAGTATAAACCTTGTTTTGCTTCAATTCGAAGAGATATCCGAATACGTCCATCTTTTTATTCTAAGTAAAATGTCATTTCCGAAAAATAGAAGCGTAAGTGTTTCAAAAGGTTTAATGGCGGTGGCAGATGTGAAGTTAAATTCACCAACTCAAACAAACAGTCAAAGTGTTGTTGTCAATGTCAAAGACAGAGATGTTGAAGTGGGGAAACCATACGAAGACGAAGATGGTATAACAATTGTTCCTGTAAAAGAACCAACATATCCTGAAGTTAGCAGAGACTTAAGTTCTGTTGCAGATATTCGAAACGACTACCAACAACTGAAAGACAAACTTCAAACTCAGGAGAAGATTTGTCAAGCTTTAAGTATAATGTTAAACTTGGTCGAACACAACCCTGTAAAAGTGAACTCATATGTCATTGCACCTCATGAAGTTTTGAAAGAACTATTGAAACTTTTGACAGAGGCAGACGATATAAACATCAAAGAAATAGAACCCGACATTAGTTGCTGTGGTGTTTCATATAATGCCATTGACAAGATATACGTTATGAAAGGAGGTGAAACGTTGAACTTAAAGTATAGTTTCCCAGACGTCATAAAAATATTTGACGACCACAACATTTCATTAAAATTTATTTGCTAAGTAAAAATGTCAAAACTTCTTGAAAGATGTTTGAAGAAAAATAATATAGACTTTATTTCATGTAAAGGACTTTACACACTTTTGAACGATATGAAAGACCCTGTTTTGTTTGTTCGTGTAGACAAAGGAAAGTTCTATGTCTTTACAAAATATTTGAACTTCTTAGACAGAGAACTTCAAGAAACGCCATGTGAAAGTTTAGATGAAGTTCTTCTCCACTTTCAGAAAAACTTTTAAATATATATAAATGGCAGAAGACATAATGGTTTATACTATTACGACTAAAAACCCTGAGTCATATAATTCTATAACAACAAACTTACAAAGTCCTCAAGGACGATATTGTAAACTAACCTTAAACACAATGACGACTAAAGCCTGTTTTGCTCTTTTGACACCAGAAGACTTTATTGTTGTGAATGGTAAAAAATACTCCTTTGAAGATACTTACTCAGATATACCACCAACAGGTTTTGTTGACTTATTTAATACTTTACGTACGAGTGTAACATGTGCTGCAACTAGAGCAGGTTTCATTATGTTTGGATGTCCGACTGAGTTTACTATAAACAATATGAGCTATAATACAAAACTTATTTCTGGTTTTTACTACCAACAGTTTCCTATAACAGGAAAAGGTGTCATACAAGGAATGTCTATTCCATTGACATTAAGCACACCAATCTTATATATTGTTTCAAACTTAGGTTCAAAGTGTTATTCGAATGTCGACAGAAACTATTATGACCAAAAGATACTTATGCGTATAAACAATACTTTCTCTGCTGGTTTGCCTATTGTTCATTCGAATGCAGAATTTTCAACCTTAGTGAACTCAAACACTTTGGCAAGTATAACGTTGACATTAGTTGACGCAAACTTTGTTCCTGTAAAACTTTTATGTCCTATGTATTTGTCAATGACGGCAGAAAGTTTCGAATTGGAAGATGCAACTGGTGAAAGTATTGTATTACAAGAACAACTTCAACAACAAATAGCTCAAGAACAACAAATGCAACAAATGCAACAACAAAGTCAAGAATAAAAAAATAATATTTTTTTATTTTTATAAAAATGTACAGAATAGATGTTTCAGATTTTTATGACTTCCAAGCATTCAGAAATATGTGTCCATTTAGAGACTATAACAAAGCAGTCGAGAATTTGAAACGTTTAGTCATTTATGTCGACTCTGCCCCAGAATGTTATGTTATGAAAGAATGGGATGTTGTCTTTAACAAACCAAGAGCAACAATAGTGTCTGAACAAGAATGTAGACAGAAACTTAAGAAAATAAAAGTCGTACAAGTTGGAATGAAGATGTTAGATGCTTGGGATATCTTATTGTCAAAGTTAGAAGATTTTTCAGTTCGTGGTATAAAGTTCTATACACCTTCTCCAAACTTCTATTCTATCTTCACTGGATATAAATACGAACAAGTAGAATGGAAAGAAAATATTATAGAAGCTTGGTTAGACCATGTCAAAGAAATTATATGCAATGGAAACGAAAAGGTTTATGAGTATATCTTATGTTGGTTTGCAAATATCTTACAACATCCAAGTGCTAAAAATGAAACTGCTCTCATTATAATTGGAAAACAAGGAACAGGTAAGAACACATTCTTTACAGATATCTTATGCAAACTGTTAGAAGGTTATTCGAACCCTAATATGACAAACTTAGAAAACATCTGTGGCAAGTTTAACTCCTCAATAGAGAATATGAAACTTATAGTTTGCAATGAACTTCAAAGTATAGATACAACAAAAGTTTTGAACTCAGATGCTTTGAAGAGTCTTATAACAGATAAAGTTGGAGTTGTTGAAAAAAATATAAAGACCAAAGAGTTTGTGAAAATGTTGCAAACTTCATTATGGTTTCAAACAATGTTGTTCCGATGAAGTTAGAAAGTTCTGACAGAAGATATGTAGTTGTCAGAACGTCAGATTCTCATATGCAAGATACAGAATATTTTGACGACTTAGCAGAAACTTTGACATCTGACTTTTACAACCACTTGTTCTCATATTTCATGACATTAGATATTTCTAAGTTCAATCCAAGACAAATTCCACATACCGAAGAGAGACAAACATTGTTAGAAGCAAACAAGAGTGTTTATGAACTGTTCGTAGATGAAACTGACTTTGTGTCATTAGATGAAAGGTCTTTATATGATTCGTATAAACAATATTGTCAAGAATATGGTTATATGGCAGCTTCTAAACGAACATTCTTGGCAAATGTCAAAAGTCTTTTAGATGTTCAGAATGGTGTATATACAAAGAAAAATTTTTCTGAGTAAATTTTAAAAAAATTTTTTTTATCCGATAGAAAAGATGACGAAATATATTTCAGTAAACAAGTACATGTCAGGACTTAAAGAAGAACTAGACCCATTCACATATTTGAATGTTTACTTCTACCATTTTGAAAAGTCTTCATTCAGCAAAGTTTGGAACATCGAACCAGTTAAGTTTGCTATTGTGACTAAAAATGGTGCGAAATTTGAAGACTTAGACATAGAAGGTTTGTTAGCAGTCAAAGAAAGTTTTGACAGAAGGTTCTCAAACCTTAAAGAAGGCAAAGCATACAAACTTGTTATACCTTATGAACCAAAGAAAGCAGACGACTATGAATATTATGAGTCTAAGATAGTTGAAGTTCAAGGTAAATTGGGTAAAAAGATTTTAGAGTCTAAGCCAGTGTTTGCCCCTAAAGAGGAAGAGAACATTGACATTGACCCAGAAATGTTCTAAAAATAAAATTTTATTTTTACATGTCAAATTTCTTTTTCTCTGGCTCTGGTTCAGGTTCTTTCTTCTCTTCTTCTACTTTCTTTTCTTTCTTTTCTCTCTTCTTCTTTTCTGGTGGAGTTATGTCAAATTTGGCACAACCATATTTATGTAAAAGTTCTTTGTCCTTTAATAGCTCATCTATTCTGTTTTTTATTTCATCTTCAAGAACAGCGCATGTGTCTTCTTTGCATTCTAAGAAGTTTTGTTGGACTTCATCTCTCCAAGAGGCGTCATCTCTGTCAACAAGTCTGTCATTGACAAATTTTAAGACTTCTCTGCTTAATGTTTTATGGTTCTTGTCATATTCCCAGAAACAGAACTTTAGAACAAATTCACCTTTCTTGTTTACACTATGTAAGATTTTATGGTCGACAGATGTTTTGCTGTCAAAAAGTTTGTCTCGAATATAGATAGCGAAATCGCTAGACATTTTCTAAAAGATAAAAATTTTAATTTTTCTAAAAATATGTTAGAAAAAAAGTTTGCTGACATTGACAAGAAATTTGAGAATGTTTTAAACAAGAACAAGAGGAAGTTAGAAAATGCTCAGATAAAGCCTATACATGACAAGTTCTTATTTGCTCAGAATGGTATAACAGGTCTAATTGCACCACCTGGGTCGGGTAAGACTTTCACTTATCTTAAAATGGCTGCACAACAACAAGAACTAGATGAGAAGAACCCATTCTATGAGTTAGTAGTCATTTGTTCGACTTCTGGTCAATTTGACCAAACCGTCAATTCGTTCAAAGATATTATAAAGAAGTCTAAGTTAGTATGTATAAAGGATACTGAGTTGTTAGATTGGATAAAGAAGTACCAAAGAAGAGTTTTGAAGTACAATGCTATAAATGAGTATATAAATTCTAAGTTCAAAGACCCAAATGAGGAAATGCAGAGAATATTAGAGAAGAAACACTTCAGAAACAAACAGAAAGAGATAGAATACATTTCGAAGAAATTGCAATCTTACGATTGGAAGACTTACCCTCATAGATGTCTTCTTATCTTAGATGATTTCGCCTCTCATCCTTTGTTAAAGAACAGAGAACAAGATATGTGTCGAATTCTTAAGAAGCTCAGACACTTTAACATCTCAGTTGTCATTTGTGTACAGACAGCAAAGAGTTTAAGTAAGGATGTAAAGAGAATACTTACTGACATAATACTTTTCCCCGGATTGTCCGAAGACGATTTCATGGAACTTATGAAAGAGTCCATGGCAGGTAAGTTTGACAGACATGAACTATGGGAGAAGTACAAAGTCATACAAGACCCTCATACTTCTTTCAGAATTCATATCTACGCAAACAAAGTTCAAATTGTAAAAAGTCAATAAAAATAAAGAGTTCATTTACTCTGCTTGTTTGAAGTTGTCAAAATACTCTGTTATTTTTTCCTTTAACAATGGCAAATCTTCTTTGAAGGTAAGTATTGTACAACCTTTCATATCATAGTGTGTTTGAGGTAACGTATCTTGAACTATTTGTTTCACATCTTCATTTGGGGTCATTGAAATCGGTAAGTTTTCGCGATAGAACCAATTTCTGTCAGATTTGTAAATCTTAGCAAGGTCGTAAAAGCTTTTGTTGTTTCTTCTGACTAAATGCAACATAATCATATCTCTGTCTTCTTCATTTTCCATCTCTTCAGTATAAATCATATACTTATAGTTCTTTTCCTTTCCTTTTGGTACCGAACGTGGTATTCTTTTCTGAATGCTTTTGTCTTTTGCTTCAAGCTTGTTTTCCATCTCTTCACGTTCTTGTCTATGAATTTCGTCAAGAAGTCTGTAAATATACCAAGCATAACGAGGTGAAGCCCACATTGCTACAGCATTTACAAGAAGTCTATGTACATAATATCCTCTCAAACCATTTGGCAATTTTTCACGATTTTCATAGAGTTTTGGCGACTGGGGTTTTTCTCCCACTCGCTGTTCTTCACTGTTTTCATGAGTTTTAGGCGACCCCGGTAAAATCCGGCCTCGCTGTTCTTCACTGTTTTCATGAGTTTTAGGCGACCCCGTTTTTTACCTACTCGCTGTTCTTCACTGTTTTCAGAAAAAAGTCGGTCTCGCTGTGCTTCGCTTAAGAGTTCAATGGTGCTTTGGTTCCTAAACCAGTCTTTAGGACGCTTAGTGTCTGGAGCAAAACATGCTGTCAAAATACTTTGCATTTGGTACATATCGTCTTTGACCGAACGAATGAGACGTAACTGTTTGTTATACTGTATGTACTCGTATTCTTCATTTATAGCTTCATGGACTATAACTGTTGTTGTGTTCTCTGATGTTGACATATCTGTCTTTACATACAAAATAAAAAAATAAAAAAAATAAAACTAACTTTATTTTCTGACTTTCACAAAAGACCAAAAATAAACGCTTTACATGTATTTTTCAGCAACTTCGTCAAATAATTTTATAGCTTTATCTATCTCATCTACTTCAAACGTTTCTTTACCTTTCGTGGGAGCACCATACATTTTCTCAAACTTTTCAAGTAGTTCTGTTTCAGCAGCTCTCATATCATTAACAAACACAACCTTGACTCTATTGACTGTACTGTCATATCTTTGAGTTATATTATATGTTCTTCCTATCTTATATCTCTTTGTATTGAAGTCCTTCGGTTTCTGAACGATGTAAAGTAAGCCTTCACTGCAACGTTCTGAGTCGAATAAACCATATGTTATGAAGTTATATCCAACAACTGGGTCTAACCATAACAAAACTATTGGTATAAGACTTTTGTCAATGAGATATGTTCTTGTTCCATAGAATCTTACCGATATCATAAGCTCAGGATTTCTTGTCAAAATTTTCTGAGTAGAAGCATTTCTAACCCAGTCGTTTGGTCTCTTTCCAGATGGAGATAAAATGTCTGACAAAGAATATTTGTTGTATTTCTTTGAGTATCTTACGTTTAAATCACCTATTCTAACCACTTTGGTGTCATTGTCTATCTTTCTAACTGTTTCAAACTCAATGTTTGTCATTTTTGTTCTTACATACAAAATAAAAAAAATATTTTATAAAAAACTAACTTTATTTTTTCAAACCAGGAGCCAAATTCTTCACGATTTTCATGAGTTTTAGGCGACTACGGTTTTTTCCTTACTCGCTGTTCTTCACGATTTTCATGAGTTTTAGGCAAGGCCGGTAAAAGTCGGTCTCGCTGTTCTTCACGATTTTCATGAGTTTTAGGCTAGGCCGGTAAAAGTCGGTCTAGAGAAATTTCACGATTTTCATACGGAATCTCTTCTCTCGGTTTTCCGAGGGAAGCAATCTTATGCCATTTTACTCAGAATTTTGGTCATTTTTCAATAAAAATAATGTTTAGGGTAGAAGGTTAGATCTAACCTCTTTTCTAACCTTTTTTCTACCCCAGTTATTTTATAAGCGTTTTACATGGTAAACGTTATTTTTAAAATTTTGTGAAAACTCAACGGTTTGACACATGCCCTAAAAATTATTTTACTCAGAATTTTGTTGCTGAATTCAATAAAAATAATGTTTAGGGTAGAAGGTTAGATCTAACCTGTTTTCTAACCTCTTTTCTACCCCAGTTATTTTATAACCGTTTTACATGGTAAACGTTATGAATTCGTGAGACTCTAAACAGTTTCGTAGCTTCTATTTCTTCTTTTAGTACATCGAATGTTTTAACGATACCGAAAGTTTCTTTATACTTCTTCTTGACGTCAGATAGAAGGAAATCTTCTGCTGTTGGATAGTTTTTGTTCAGAAATGCTAACATGTCCATTTTATCTTCTGCTGGTTTTTCTGCTTCTTTCTTTAAGTCTGCATAGTCGTTTCGCATACGTTCTATCTCTTTGACGGAGTAGTTATATTTCCTCATTGCTGCTTTACATTTAGAACATTGTGGGTTCATTTTTGCGTTATATTCTGAAACCTTACCTGCTAAAACAACCAAGGCGTCAATGGTTTTCTTTAAATCTGAAGCAGTTGGTTTTATCTGTTCATTCCATACCTTACCTCTTCTATCTTTATCTCTTATTTCCCAAACACATTCAGCAACTAACGAAACAAAGTTGTCGTAGGTCTTAAATTCTTCAGATTTATATATGTCAGAAACATTCTTATATACCATGTCGCAATCTTTGTCCATAACCTTATGGTTGCAATGAAAACCAAGGAATTCATAATTTACCTTACGTATGAATTTCTTTATTTCTACTGAGTCAGTTGCTTTGACTTCAATTTCGTCGAATTCAGGAATGGTTAGTTTTTGTTGTTGGATTTCAGGCAATTTGGGTAAATGGTCAATAATGTCCTGCATGTCATAAAGATACTGTTCATTTGTTTCATCTTTCGCACTACAGTCTAAATTACTTGTTAACAATTCCTGCTTTATCTTCTGGATTTTTGTTTCGAAAGTATATGAAGAAGGAATGAAGCTTTTCATTTCTACTAACATTGACGTAGGATTCATAACTAACGAGTTTGGTGAAGTTGTTGTTTGAACTGTTGTTGTGCCGATTGTTGAAATCATATCTTTTATACAAAATAAAAAAAATAAAAAAAAATAAAACTAACTTTATTTTTTTTTTTTTTATTTCGGGAAAATTCATGAAAATTCAAGAGGTTAGAAATGAGGTTAGAAATGAGGTTAGATCTAACCTTCTACCCTAAACATTATTTTTTGGTCATTTACGCTCATGACGATGAAGTTTCGACAAAACATTTACGATGAAATCATGAAAATTCAAGAGGTTAGAAATGAGGTTAGAAAAGAGGTTAGATCTAACCTTCTACCCTAAACATTATTTTTACTGAATTCAACAACAAAATGAACGAGGTCAGGATGTATGTTGCTGAATTCATTCATAACACCCTTTGTAAGCTCATAAAATGTTTGTTTTGAGGTCGAGCCACTTTTGGCTCCACCGTATTCTTTCAACCAAAACTCAAGAATTTCCTGCATGAATTTTGTATAAAAACCAACCGCCGGAATTCCGGCGGTTGCTATATTCTTCACAAAACATTTACGTTTAGTTTACGAAGAAGTCATGACAAATTCATGAGGTGAGAAAAGAGGTGAGAAAAGAGGTTAGATCTAACCTTCTACCCTAAACATTATTTTTTGGTCCGGGAACAACTTTCTCTCAATTGGAGCTGTAGCATACTCTTTGCGTAAGCGGTTCAGACCTTCTTCGAACTCTTGGTCTCTCTTCGATTTGTATTGAGATTGGAATTGCTGGAACATCCAAGGGTTGGGGAAGTAAGGCATAGGCTGAGGAGGGTAGTTCGGGAAGCCTTGTAGTGGAAATTGGTAGTAACCTTGAGGTGGAAATTGGTAGTAATTTGGATTGAGATTGGAATTGCTGGAACTGAGGTTGCTGAGGAGACTGTTGTGGTTCTTTAGGTTCTTCTGGTTTGGGAATGGACTCGGTTGGTGGGACGTGGGACATTCGTTTGTGGCTTAACCGTCGGACCACAACGATAAAAATCTCTGCTCCTAGCAGTACTGCTACTGACAGTAGCAGTACTTTTTCTGACAGTAGCAGTACTTTTACTGACAGTAGCAGTACTTTTTCTGACAGTAGCAGTACTTTTACTGACAGTAGCAGTACTTTTACTGACAGTAGCAGTACTTTTTCTGACAGTAGCAGTACTTTATCGTCGAAAACCCTCTCAAATTTTCCTTTTTACTGCTCGTAGCAGTACTTTTACTGCTCCTAGCAGTACTTTTACTGACAGTAGCAGTACTTTTACTGACAGTAGCAGTACTTTTTCTGACAGTAGCAGTACTTTTTCTGACAGTAGCAGTACTTTTACTGACAGTAGCAATGGTCGAGGTCGAACCTACCGACGAGGCAATTTACCTAATTGAAATTAACGAGCTTGTTAAAGACTACTTGCGCAAGGTCATGAAGCCCAAGGTCAAGTTTACCACTATTTCTGGAAGGGCTGCCTTGAATCTCGAGATTTCGACTGGAATTCCAATTGAGGTACCAGAAAACACTCCTGTAGACGACATAAAGCAAGCAAAGAAGGAAGCCATTATAAAGTTCTTTGCAAAGCGCCCATGGATACAACTTCCAAACAGAGAGAGTCCAATTCCACGAATTATACAAATTCTCAGAGCACTGTTCCACTTCTCGGGTCAGCCGTTCTACATAACCTCAGAAGGCGACATCCAACCAGTTCAGTAAACATCTCATTTTAACTCCACTTTTTTATGTTTTTTGTGAAAGTGTCAAAAATAAATTGTTTTCATGAAAATTCAAGAGGGTAGAAAAGAGGTTAGAAAAGAGGTTAGATCTAACCTTCTACCCTAAACATTATTTTTCAATACTTTTTCAGCACTTTTCCGTAGTTATATATGAAAGACAATTCGAGATAAAAGTCATAGTACAATGGAATAATATGTTGCACACCATTTGTTGTGAACCAAACTTGAAAGTCAGAGAAACTGTTACTAGATGGTTCGTAGAATTTAGAAGCAAAGTCATAAAAGTCCTTACCAATACATAGAAAACTATTGTTGCTTGAACTGAAACTTGCATGACACATAACATTTTGAGGGTCAAACACGTTTCTATAAACTGTCAAATCTGCTGGTGGAAGTATAAATTTAAATGGACCATCTGGTGGTAATGGTTCGTTCTGGTTTAGTAACCGAAGAAATTGTGCCCAAGAACGTTTGTCTACTTCCCAAAATAAAAACTCTGTATCTCTTGGAGGGTTAATTTCAATCTTTTGAAATGAAACGGTGGAGTTCATCTTGTCATATTCTAGTTTCAGATAGTATGTTCCATTTAGTAAAGAGTGGTATTTTTTTTGAAATTCCCAATAATATTTGTTCATTTGAGTTTGAAAGTCATTTAGAGTTTTCTCAAGACTTTCGTCTGAACGAACTGTAAAGATTCTCATTTCGTCAAATTTGTCTATTAGACCATCAGAACCTTTATACTGCCCATGAAAATATACTGCGAACATAAATGCGTTAGTTCTATTTGAAAACAAAACTCTTCTAAATCCTATTGCCTTTGCATCTGAAGGACTTTGAAGCCAACGAATTGGATAGTCAAACCTGTATGCTCGGGATGAAATTTCTTCATCTGATATTGTCCTACCAGCATTTGTAAAGATATAGTCTAACGGTTTTGTATCTGCTACTTTTGTTCTTTGTTTTTCAACCTGAAGCATTTAATATATGTAAAAATATATTGTTTTAAAATGGTATGCCATTTCATATTTCTCATCTAACAAACAAGTTTCCTTCAACTTGAGGTTCACTAACAAACTCAGCGTACATTTCAAATAAAATTTAAAAAATGTCACTTTTTAAAAATAAATTTTTACTTCATGCAATGTTTTATTTCTGTGCCGTCTTCAAGTATGCCCCAATACTTACGCTTGGAGAGGACATGAACTTCGGAAAATACCTTATCTAGCTTAAAACAGCCCATCTTTTCACCGACCATTCCCATTTCAATGAGTTTGTTGTATCCTTCTTCGTTCGTCATGAGTGCGTCAATGTTCTCATAGTAAACCTTCACCTTGGATTTGACTTCGGAGAAGAATTTGTTGTAGTTGTCAAGGACTGCCTTTGCGAACTGAGGGTAAGACCAATGTTCGACAATAGGTTTTAATGTGGTTACTAAGCCACTTTGACCTTGAGTGAATTCGTACTTCAAAACAAAAGGAGAAAACCTTTCAACAAAGTTGTCGACCTTCTCATAATGTTTACTCTTCATCTCTTGAGGTTTCTTAATGGAATATCCCCATGTCGAATTCATAAGCAATTTGAGTGTCATTGCAAGTTTGGGGTTTGAAGCTTTCCTAATATCATACAGTTGTTGTATGACTTTTCCAACTGTATAGTTCCTTCCCGGGAACTCACCATCTTCGTTTGGAATTCCAGTCGGAATATATTGGACAAACCTCATGTATGCAGCGTTAAGGTCGACATAGTATATCTTTTCATCTGAGTCGAACTTGTCGCAACCAATTGGTCCAGTTTGTGGAAATTCAAGTGAGTCTCTTATCTTCTGAGAAACTTCTCCTGTTATCTCATAAACATCGTCGAAGCAACCTGTTTCATATAAAACCTTCTGACCTAACTCAGATGCTCTCCAATACAATTTGACGTCAATTGGATGTCTCAATGGAAGTTTGTTTATAGCATCTTGAAGTTCTTGCAACCTCATTGGAAGTTCTTCTGGTTCAGGTTGGTATCCGAACAATCCAACCCCTTGTGGAATTGTGTACTTCTTTTGTACTAGAACTTTGTCTGGAACAACTTTTGGTCTTGCTAACAGTGAAAAGTTTGTTTCGTCTTTTGGTACAAAAGTTTCTGTCAGCTTGTCATCTGGAATTGGTTCCAACAAACCTTTCTCGAAAAGAATGTTTACAGCTCTGACAATGTTGCACTTGCCTTTTCCGAACAATGGGTTTGTAAGACTTTCGTTCAACATGAAGTGGTTGTGGACAATTACAATCTTCAACCATGGTAAATTGAACTCAACAACATAGTCGTCATGTGAAGAACCTTTAGCTGTAGGTATGTTGACTCGGATATTGACATTTGCCAACGGTGCAATTTTTGCCAATTGACCTCTGAGAATGTACCTTGTCTTCACACATGACTCAAGATACTTCATCTTCTCTTCTGTAACAAGACCAGAGTTCCTGAGACATGTAAGAATGCAAGGTTCATTGACAATTGTTTCAATTGAATTGTAAAATTCCATACCTTGTCAAGTCAATGTCAGACTTATTTATGAACGGGAAGTATCCAGCATGTTGTCTGACTGCTTGAGGGTTAGGTTGGTACCATTCGAACTTGACACTTGCAATTCCTTCAATTGCATTCAAAATGTCTGAGTCGGAGTCAACCATTTGTTCTCTCTTTGTAGTCTTGAAAGCGTCAAGAAGTTTTGCGGCTGTTTGTTCATTGCCATTTGCATAGTAAATGTGACCATCCAAATCTGTTATGGTCAATCTGAGATTGTGTCCTTTCATATTTCCGTCTTGAATTGCAGCAAGTACTCCCATGAAGCCTTCTTTGTTCTTTCCTTCGTCAAAGTTTACTGTAAAGGTTCGACCAGATGTAATTTGACTTCTAACTTCACGATACTTTTCATATGCATATCTTGTTCTTTCCATGGGAGCATGACCATCCTCTGCACTACCTTTTTTCCTTCTCAAAGGATGCAATTGTTCGTCATGTTTCCAGTAGAATCTGGCAAAGCCGTCGTGTCCTTCAACTTGAGGTTCACTAACATCGAAAGGCATGTTCATAAGACGTTCTTCTTCTAACCTCTCTAGTCTGTTTGGATAATTGGCATGTGCTGTTTCCAAATCCATTTCGTAGCGAGACCAGACAATTTGTCATAGACTTTTATGGGTCTTCCCTTCCTATATTTAAAATTCTTCGAAACTCTCCAACCATATCTTTGTAACTCTGCTTTTATTCTAGCAGACTTTCTATCCATTCTATATGGGGGCATTTTTATAAAAATAAAAAAATGTTTTTTTTTCTTTACTTTACATAACCGCCTGCTGCCATAAGTCTTTGACGCCAACCCATACCAGCTAATGAAGGTTGACTTGGTTTAGTTTCCAAACTAAACTTTGGTTTTGGTTTATCTTCAGTTTTTGGTTTTTCTTCTTCTATCGGTTTTTCGTCACTTTTCGGTTCCTCTGACTTTACTTCACTTGCAGGAACAGTTGTGTTGTCAACATCTTCATAAATATCATATGCCATTTGTTTTTGTTTTCCTTTCAACTTTTTGTGTTTGTTGTAAAGTTTAGAATATTTCGACTCTAAGTCAATGAGATGTTCTATAATGAACTGTTGGTCAGTGAAGTAAACTTTTCCATCTGTTGTCTCGAAAGCTCCTTCAGACTTCAATATTTTATTTGTGAGAGTCTGTTTCTTTTTTGAGATACTAGCCGTTCCATTTCTATGAAAAGTGACTTTATAGTTAGGGTTTGTATTTCCAGACCTGGCACTTTCTATTATTGAATTTTTCTCTTCATCTGTAAGTTCTTTGACAGGTTTTGACAATGGTTCTGAACTTTTTGTTTGTGGTGTCAAATCTACCGTTTCAACTTCTTCGGTCATTTCATCTCAGTAAAAATTTTAGTTTGGTTTGTTTTCAACTGGTTGTTTAGGTTTTTTAAGTCGGTCTAAAACTTCCTGAGGTATAGGAAGAACTTGACAAACACGTGGTGTAACTGCTGGAAGCCGACAAATCCATCTTGAACCCATTTGTCTCAATGCTGTATTGTTCATTTCATCTCAGTAAAAAATTTTACATTCCCCAAGTTTGAGGCGGTTGAGGTTGGTTATTGTTTGCCCACTGTTGTGCATGGTTATATCCTCTGTTAAAGAATCTTTCACCTTGGTCCATATAGTGTCCTGCTTGGTTATAGTAGTCATTTGCTTTGTTATAATAGTTTCCTGCTTGTCTTCCTACATTGTCCATCCATCCTTGAACTTTTCCTCTTGTTTCAGGATTTGGAATAAGATTTGCTGCATCTCGTGCTACATCCCAACCTTTCTGTACAGTTTGTATAATAGGTTGTGCTTTCTCTTTCAGTATACCTAATGTACTCAAAATCTTCCTTCCAATTCCAAATGCACCTCTGGCTATTGTTCCAACTGCGGGTAAAAATCTGGATGCAACTCCTGCTAATGCGCCAAATAAACCCATTTCTTATGGGTTAAAAAATGACGAATCCAAACAAGGACCCCTATGTTTCTAAAGCGACAAAGAAAGCACTCATGATAAAAATCTTTAGTTCAACACCAAATGCTTGGTTTATGGATATCTTGGAAAACATTCCGAGAGTTAGAACAGATGGACCACCATACTGGTTAATATTTGTTGGTCAAAACACAAGATACTGTGAAGCCATACCATTATGGTCCAAAAATATTTTAGATGTGAAAACTGCTTTGACAATATTCGTTGACAAATACCATCCAACAAAACTGACATCTGACTGTGAAAGTTCTTTCAAATCAGATGATGTAAAAAACTATCTGCGTTCAAAAAATGTAAACCAATATTTCATTGTCGACCAAAACCATTCTGCTCTTGGTGTCATTGACGGTTGTATAAAAATGTTAAGAGACTTAAACCAACCACAAGGTGGTGAAGCAAATGAAATGTCATATGACGACAAATATAGACACTTCTCCATGGCAAAGATGAGACAAGTTTTAAATATTTACAATAACCGTAAACAAAAAGGTTTGGGAAACCACTCCCCCGAAGAAATGAAAAACAACCCTGACTTAGAGAAAGACTATATATTTAATAATTTAGTCAAAAGAGACAAACAAGAAAGAATGCCGGGCTTCAAACTTCAGAAAGGTGACAAAGTAAAAATAGAAATACCTAAACGCGACCCATATGAAAATACTATTGACTATGACAACAATGGGAACTCGACAGGTACTCACATTCGTGTTCGTAAAAATAGAAGAAAGTATACAAGAGAATATTATGAAGTTTTAGGCAAACATGGCAAAATGTACACACTGCAAGCAGAAGATAAAACTACTATTGTCAGACCTCGTTTCAAACTTGTCAAAGTTCAAGGTGGTATACTTTCAAAGACAGTTCCTAACAAATATAAGACAACTCCTGACGAATATGCTAAAGAAGTTGAAAATGACGACTAAGCATTTCTATACCATGCGTAAACTGTCATGTAAGGTGGCATGTATTCTTTACTTTGTCCCGTTGTTTGCGTATATCCTGAAACGCGATGTGTATGGTTTCCATCTCCCTGAGTGTTACCCCAGAAACAATTTATAGCAAACTGAACGTCGTCTTTAACATCATATCCTTTACCTTTTTTCATTGCTGACCAATCCCAAAATTTATGCTTATGCCAACCTGCTTGAGATGTACTTAAATCTATGTAGTGACTGTGTGCAGGTAGATTTTCACCTGAAATCGTTTTACTTCCACCTGTTTCCTTTGAAGAGTTTGCACAATACAAAAACCTGTCGACTATTTGAGTCCAAGTTCCAAAACCAAGTACTACTTCTGGTCTGGTAGAGTTCATTGACGTATAAATAGAGCCTATAGGATATAATGTTTGAAGTATTTCTGTCTTTAATGTTTGAAGCTCTGTTTTGTCTGCTTTCTTGTCATATAAATCTTGAGCAGTGAATTTAATATTATGTTCATCCTTCATGACATAAACATCTTTACATCTAATGTTTCTCATCGTCGTTATGTCGTCATCCGATGTTAAACCTTGTGGAAAGTTAGGAAGTTTCCAATATAATACATCCCCATCAGTTTCTTCAAACGTTCCTTCAATACTTTCTATAGCAACAGTTGTGAAGAAATCATGTGTATGGTTCTTGTCTGCTTTCTTTTCAAGGCTAACGTTTAAGTCTGTTATTTCAGAAGATGTATGTGTATGTCCAACGGCACTTTTCCTGTTTAAGGTTTCTTGTAAGTCTGTAATATCAGATATAGAATGTATATGAGTCTTTTTAGAATATTCGTTTTCAGCTCTTGTCACTTCACTTGACATTTTATTGTCAACATATGTTTTGTCTGCTAGTTCAGGATGAGTATGTTCTTTTGTTGCATAAGCATTGTTAGCTCTTTCTTCTTCTTTTGCTATTGCATCGTCTACATATTCTTTGTCAGCTTTGTTGTCAACATCTGTTTTCAAAAGAAGTTCATTTATAGGTTTCTCGTTTAAAGTTCCTTTTGTTGGATTTATACAGACAGTATTGTTCTTCTTGTCTTGAAACAGAAACTCATCTGTCATTGGGTTTAATGTCAGTTTTAAGTTTCCTTCTTTCAATGACTCAGATATCTTAGAATAGTTTGAAAAGTTTGTTGTGTTCTTATTTAGAGCTTGCATAATGAGTTGTCGGTTGTGTTGTATTTCTCTCATGGAAGCAATA